GGTGCAACGAGTATCTTGACAAGTTAGCGACATGACCTACCCAAGCAGCGGAAGACAACACTGAACCTTCATTAAAGATGATGCAGATTAATGGCATCTTTGTCAGGTCTAAGCACTTTCAGGCCACAGGTAAGAAAGAATCATCCCACTTTCATCAAGTAACAACATGATGAAATGCTTGGGAAAATCTCCCATCACCCCCTGAACCCCATTTAGGCTTATCCAAATAAGTTCGAAGTCTTCAGTAGCTCGTTGAACAAGACCTCGCAAGCCGAAGATTATCCAGTTGATATGCAGTTTCTACCTTTCAGTATAGTTGATACATTTCTTTATTCTCAATGAAGATTTAAGAAGTTATTCATAAGCCTGGCTCAACTGCTGTCTACAAGAACTACCCAAACCCTTATCTAGGTACGCTCTCTAGTGCGAGGGTAAACTTATTCCCCAACACCCATCTGGGTATGCTCTCCAGTTCGAAAGGGTAGTCTAATTCCCTAACACCCATCTGGGTAAGCTCTCTAGTGCGAAAGGGTAAACTAATTCCTCAGATATTCCCAGACACCTATCTAGGTAAGCTTTCCAGTGTGAGAGGATAAACTAATTTTTTGACACCCATCTAGGTGTACTCTTTAATGGAATGGGAGAAACTGCCCATGTATTTCACACTACCACTCATTTTGATGTGATTAGTTAACAATTTTCATATTCCACAAATCTTTATCATGTTGTGATGCAGGCCACACAGCTTAAAGGAACAAATACTCAAAGACCAGCTAAGCAGTAAATGGTCAGGGGACAACAGTCGACGATGAACTTAACAGCTCGACGACATGAAGCCAAAACTCACGGCCATAGTGACTTTATAAGATTGTTAGCTTTTTTTAAATCGGCGTGCCCAATCAACAGTTCTATCGCTAAAAGTTTTGCAAGACACTTCAAGCAAGTAAAGTTTCAAGAAAAATGAAGTTGAAGTAAAGTGAAGAAAGCAGTTTATTAAATTTCTACCAAATTGATAAACTTATAAGAAGGTCACCAAAATCTGATACAAGCTAAATAGAGTAGACTACTCATTTAGCAACTTGAATGACCTTGGGCTCGCCAGCAACCATCATGCCCTCAGCAACTACTTTGTACTCAGTAGTTTGCTTATCTAACACTTCATCTTTAGCAGCTCCGATCTTGGCATCTCTTTCCTCGATTGCTCTATCTATGGTAGCTGAGAAATCAAACTTAAACAATTTCTTTCTTCTAGGCAAGTAGTACATACGTGGCAGCAACAGAAGAAGCGGGATTTGATGCCTCTTTAATTATCGAATCCACTTTTCTAAGTGATGGACAATGGCGAGTCTTTTAGAAGCCAATCTAAACTTAGCCACAACTTGATATTTCACTCTATCTTCGGACCCGGAAGCTAGAAACATCTCGATGTCAAGCTTCCGGAGGCAGCTGAAGGATTTCTTGTCAACTGAAAGTCCAGTAAGCAAGCTAACATACCAACTTTGCGCCTCAGCGCCTTAAGTTGCGACCTCAACCGCGCAGCTGCCCTTGGCTCCAGCCAAGCCAAGCAGCCGAAGCTGTGGTCCCTGCCGACATGCCGTACTACCCTGACGGCTGCCCCGCGACAGCACTACCCAAGAAGAAGACAAAGAAAATTAAATTTTCTTACCTTGGTGCAGCGTGGAGAAGACAAAGAAATCAACGAAAAACAGTTCTTTAGACGGGCATGCGAAGAAGAATGCTAGGGGAAGGGGAAGAATATCCTTAACTTTCTCTCTTTCTTGTAGGGATGAATAATTGCCTTCCGAAGTTGATTTAATCCCATACTTGGTAAACTTAAATAGGCTTTAGTGGCGATTTATTTCCCTTTCCTAGAAGAATCTAATTCCAAGTTGTTGATGCACAAAACCGGAGGGATCTTGGAACAACGTAAATCCGACCGTGAATCTGCAAGAAAGTAAAGAACACAAGATGTATCGTGGTTCACCCCAATGTTTGGGCTACGTCCATACTGATATTGTATTTCTCTGTTTGTTAGAGGATGAAAGGGTGAGAGCCTCTGAGGGTGAGAGTCAGGCTTGAGGTTTGTGAAGGTGAAGAGGCTCTTTTATAGAATAAGGGCTCCTCACTTATTACATAATTACATTTGAGTCCCTCGAGTATTTATACGAGGTCTAAATACAGAGGCCCTAAGTATGGTACAAACAGTAGTCCCTCAAGTCTTCAGTCAAGAGAGTCTTTTGGCTAGAGACTTGAAATTCAGTCCATATGTGGGCCGAAGTAACTAGATGTCGTCTAGAACTGATACTCTATATGAGGTGGTGCCCAATCTGAAATGATGCTCAACTAGAAGTAGCACATATTGCGAGGCTGCTCGGTTTGTGGCTTATGTTGCCTTGGTTGGCTCGGCTTGTGGCGTTGAAGGTGAGGGAGTCCCTTTTATAGAATAAGGGCTTGCTCCTCAATACATGAATGATGGGCTAGAGTTGATGCTCACGGCGAAGCGGTTGCTCAGCAGGTGGCGATACTCTCTAATGATGGTGATGGAGTCCCTTTTATAGAATAAGGGCTCGCTCCTCAATACATAAGTGATGGGCTAAGCGTCTCTTTCTAATGAAGATGAGGGAGTCCCTTTTATAAAATAAGGGTACGCTTCTCAATACGTGAATAACGTGCGCTCTTTTAATGAAAGTGAGGGAGTCCCTTTTATAAAATAAGGGTTCGCTCATTGATGCATAAGTGATGGGCTAGAGTTGATGCTCTCTAATGATGGTGAGGGAGTCCCTTTTATAGAATAAGGGCTCGCTCCTCAATACATGAATGATGGGTTAGGAGTGATGCTCGTGACAAGGCGGTTGCTCAACTGGCGGCGATGCTCTCTAATGAAAGTGAGGGAGTCCCTTTTATAGAATAAGGGCTCGCTCCTCAGTACATAAATAATGGGCTAAGTCCCCCAAGTATTTTTCATGAGGCCCAGTTGAGACCCAATATATGGTATATAATGTAGTCCCCCAAGTTTTCGGTCAATAGAGTCTGTTGGCTGGAGACTTCAAATTGAATCCATGTATAGGCCGAAGTGACGGCTGTTCAGAGGTGGTATTTGTATACCCTGCACTGACGCTTTGTAGGTGAAGCTTTGCAAGTGAAGCTTTTAAAGCTGGAGTTTTGTAAATGAAGCTTTTTAAGCTGGAGCTCTCGAAGCTGGAGCTCTGTAAATGGAGCTTTCGAAGCTGATTGACATGAGTAATGCTCATGAATGTTTATGTTGATTGACATGAGTAATGCTCATGGATGTTAACATGAGTGATGCTCATGAATGTTGACATGAGTGATGCTTATGAATGTTGACATGAATGATGGTCATGAATGTTTATGTATGATTGACATGAGTGATGCTCATAAATGTTTATGTATGATTGACATGAGCGATGCTCATGTATAATTTTGGAGTACTGGACGTACTTTTGATCACCTGGTTGGTGATAATAGCGGTAGGCTGCCGAATAATTTTTTGTAGTATTGGACGTACTTTTGATCACCTGGTTGGTGATAATAGAGGGCCTGGTTCTTTTAGGCATATGGGCCTTTGCCCTCCACATAACATTCCAGCCCATTATTTTGGGCTTGCTTTTTTTTTTCTTTTTTTTTATTACCCTCTGATGGGGTTTATACAGATGTATCCGAGATAAGAAAAATAAATCACATCATTCAAAAACAAGAAAAGTAAATCACATCATTATGGTGGGGTGTTTATTCATTGCTTTGGTAGTATGGGTGTTTATTCTTTGCTTTTGCATGTGGGTGGTCGATGGCACGCCCTCTTCTGTGAGATCCAGAACACATTTCTGTGTTTACCCCACCATCAAACATTACTTTTTTTTTTAATTTCTTCTTTTATTCATGTCACTTCTCCTTTCTACTTATTTCTTCCCTTTTTCTTTTTTCTGAAATATTCTCTCAACAACTAGTACAGCCCACGTTTAGCCCATCCTCCTTTTTCTTTTTCTAACCTCATAATTGATTCTAACCTTTCAATTCTTCTTCGATGGATTGTTGTCAGAGATGATGACGGCACTAAGGATGTAGAACACAGCCTTATTAACTTGCAAGGGCTGCAATGGCAATGGCAAGGGAAGCTTACGAAATCTGACCGACATACTCTGATCTGATGATCTTTCATCATCTACCCTGTTCACATTTCCTCTAGAAACACCAGAATCATTAATCATCTGACCTCCAGATTGTGGCAAAGCACCTAAATTCGCCACCATTAACAGCGGAGCAGCAACAACAGCAGCATAACTAGCACTTATTTGAGCAAACTGCTCCTTAATCCCAACACCCCTGTTACCACCCTGCATCAATCTTGCCCTATTTTCGTCTATTCGAACCCGAATCGGAGGCAAATTCGACAAGCAAGGCGACGAAGTAGAAGACTCGCATGACGAAGTACTGTTCTCAACAAATGGGGAGTCTTGATTAATCGAATGAACATCATGGACAACCATATTATCAACATTTTTCATCACGACGTTGTTGCCTTGTTTGTTGTTGTCTCCGAAGAAGTCGCATTGCGCCTCAAAATCATTGTAAGAATTCTCACTCCTCGTTAGTAAGTAATCCATAGTGGCAGAATCTGATAGGTTTCTTGGAAGACCCGACCCGTTCAGCGCGTCGACGAACTAAGACTTTCGACGCCTTTGCGTCGTTGAGCAGAACACCCATCGACGCGGTGGTTTCGGGTTTCATGAAGAAGAGGAACAGTCGGAGGCGGGAGGGTTTGTGGGGGGAGGTGGAGGCGGTGCGATCATATTCTTCGACCATGTTGTCAAGATCTTCATTGGTGGTGATGGAGGCAAGCTTAAAACTGGGAGAAGATGCACTTGATTTCCATCTTTTGCACATCGAAGTAAGGCGGAAGAAGGCATATGTTGGTAGTCTCGACAGCACCCTTTCGAGAAGGTCTTAACCTATCCCCGCCATGCCCATTCGCAGTGTTAACACTAGTAGACAGTGCGCCACCTGTCTAACTCCCCGACTTCATCGTTTCGACCCTCGTCCCCATCGCTGCTTCCACAGCATAATTGGGCATTGTCCATGAGTGCAGCGGCATTGGCGTTGTTCTGCCGGTTGTCGTCGTCCTTGGCCTGGTGAGCCAGGACCTGCTCGAGGTTGGTGCAGAGGGCATTGACAGTGGCTTCGTTGGTCTGAGCTAGGTTGTGCCATATTTGGTTCTCTACGCACAACGACTTAACCAGCGCCCAATTCAGCTTCCCCATTTTTTCAATCTCTTCCTCTTTAGCCCTCAGCCGCTTTGCCATCCCGACCTCAATCGCCTCCATTATTCGCCGTGCCTGCCGCTTCTTCTTCTCCTTGACATCCAATCTTACCTTCTCCATGTGTTGGGAAATGAGACGGTCGACGTCGAACTGCTGCTGCTACACGTGCAGAGAGATGTCCTTGCCGAGAAAAGAGAAAGGGTCGCAGTTTTTGTAGTTGGTTAACGGCGAAGCCGGGTACGAAGAAGACAAGAATAAAGTTGTCCTCATGGGGGACATTCTGGAAGGAATTCGAGGGCGGAAGAGAATGCCTCGAATTCAAGGTCGGCATAAATGGTGGTTTCCCACAAATATAAGGGAAGATATTGAGATGCCGGGCTTCAACAACCATGATTTTAATGGTGAAAAAGGAAGTAGGAGAAAGCAGAGGAAATAGAGGAAACGTTTTCTTTGGGTTTGCAAATTGGTTTCTGTGTGCGACTGACTAAGAGAGGAGAGAGAGATGGGACTGGTTTCTTGGGTTTTTGTGATTTTGCAGATTCACGGCGGAGGTGAAAAAATGAAAGAGAACCGACATAGTTTTTTGTGTCGATTCCCATAGACGGCGCCAAATGTTGATGTACAAAACCGAAGGGGTCTTGAAACAACGTAAATCCGACCGTGAATCTGCAAGAAAGTAAAGAACACAAGATGTATCGTGGTTCACCCCAATGTTTAGGCTACGTCCACACTGATATTGTATTTCTCTGTTTGTGAGAGGATGAGAGGGTGAGAGCCTCTGAGGGTGAGAGTCAGGCTTGAGGTTTGTGAGGGTGAGGAGGCCTTTTTATAGAATAAGGGCTCTTCACTTATTACATATTTGCCCCTCCATTTATTACATAATTACACTTGAGTCCCCCTAGTATTTATACGAGGTCTAAATACGGAGGCCCTAAGTATGGTACAAACACAAGTCAAAGTGGGAGTCTGAATGAATTTAGGAAACGATCTTATGTTTCCCTAAGCAGTTGGAGATCTCTACGCTTACTGCCATTTCCTACGACCAGCCCAACATGTGAAAGGGCATTTGTAGAGCCAAAAATAATCCAAAAAATCATGAAGGCGACACATGGACTTTCGGGTTAAAAAGACAAGACTACCCTTGAGGCGCATGCAATGGACAATAACGACTCAATCAAAGAAGTGTCCAAGGTGATCAATGTGGAATTTATTTCATATTCTTCTCATCACTCCTCATCAATCCGTTATTGATGTTATTCAAAAGGTAACTCCCAAAACTTCCTAATTAAATTAAGAATAATTGCCATGTTAATTGCAAGATATTATTTCACATAATATCTTACAATTATTCACCTATTATCACCAAATATGGCCGGCCAGTCTCCACGCAAAGGGTCGGCCACTCTCCTATAATTACCCATCTTATCCTAATAAAATGCTAAGCTATTTGCTACCCATAAACTCCTAAATACAGTCTCTTCAAAATTCTAACTTTGGCATCAAAGATTCTTCGGCTAAAGCCCCTTCCATACATCATGGGCGCGAGGCCTTTGGTCTTAATCGAAAATGTTACTATTTTGCAGGTGCATTTTCATCAAGGCAAGATATGGCGGAAATTTACATCCATAGATACTAAATTATTATGGCTGAACTAGTGTTTCACTTACCACAACTTCTTCTTTTCTTAATATCACTGTTCTAAAAATCCCCACCTAGCGCCGCCTAGGCGCTAGGTGGCTAGCCACCGCCCAGATTAATGGCTAGGTGTTTAGAAATTAAGAAATGGTGCCTAGACATGCTAAGGCGCCCGCCTAGACCCACTAGACACCTACCTAGGTTGTAACTCACTTAGATAGAAAATAGATAACTTTCCTTTTGCATTTTATTATTTCCAATAAATTGTAAGAGACTTATTGAACATTTAAATAAACACATATTATATGTTTGCTCCCCATGTTTTCATTATGTTCCAATACTTCATAATATATATGTCATTCTATTTTCTAGTTTATGATGAAATTATACATATTTTAAGTATAAACAAACACATATTTACACGAAATACAATAGATTTACTTAAATCCGTCTAGTACGCCGCCCGACTAGTGCCTAGCGTCTTTTAGAACCTTTGTGACAACCCGTCCCAAAATTTATTATTTTATAAATCTTAAAATGTGAAATTTACGAGAATACACTAGAGGCGAGGGTATTGATTTTCGTTGATCGTTAGTTCATGATGCTTATGAACTATTACCTTACCGTATTCCAAAAGTACGTTGGTAAGGATTGTTATTTATTATCTTATTCATTTCTTATTATTATATTTTTTTTATGTAAAGGGATGTGGGAGAAAATAGAAGAAGAAGATGGAGGAAGGGGGATGGCTGTCGAATGGCAACGAAAGAGAGGGAGAGGAAGGAGATGGGCACTGCCCAATAAGAACTGAGGAGAGAGGGAGAGTGACGAATGAGAGAGAAGAACCAGGAAGGAAAGGAGGGAAGAAGAAAATGAGGGAACCCAAAACGGGTCTTTCTTGACCCTTGTGACTCGGCCGACGACAACCATAGAAACAGATGGCTTCCCGGCCAAATTTCGATTGACGGTTGACTCTTAGTCAATGGGTCTCAAATTATTCTTAAATGTCCATGAGGATATGTTTTATGTAAATTATGTGCTCTATCGGTAAGAACTTTGAGACGTGATTTGATAATTGGCCGCAGGCGACGATAGTTCGTGATGTCTCGATGTTCGTGCGAGGGAGTCGTAGTGCGAACCTAAGGTGAGTAGGTCTTTTCTCTTCTATCATATATATACGTAGATAAGATTGACATCTCCATAAACGTTTATAAATTGATTATTTCATATAACTAGTGTGAATGCTTTGAAGTACTAGTATGAACTACGGATGACTTGATCCCTGTTTAGGGTACATAGGCAGTCCTACAAGTCGTTAGATGCAACCATACAATAGTTGAGACAATAGCCTTGTTTAAGGCATTAAACAGTGTGAAAGACATTGGTGGAAAATATGAGATTTAACCTTATGATTTGGTGGTTAAATATTGGTCATAAATCAATGTGTAAAGAATCAAGAATTTGAAGTAAGGAAGTGTAAGTAATGATAATTAATTAAACTAGTGTCTAGTTGGGCTTGTCACCGATAATTATTCCCAAAAATAAATAATTTGGAAGTAAGGCGTTATAGTTCATGCATTTTTATGCCACATTATATATATATATATATATATATAATTGGAAATGCAATAACGTTGTTGAGCATCAGATTTCATCGTGGTTTATCTATATGTATATTACCTGCACACAATTATTATAAACACTTTGAAATGCAAAGGTGAACGTAGGACACCCAAGTAAGTTCAAGTGAGTTTATGGTATTAGTTGAAATGATGGGGTTATGGTATGACTACATGTATGTTTATGCAACTCCAACCTTGTCGTGTAGGTTGCAATGATAGGCAATTCTGACACTGTCATACAGGTTTCCCATGAATCGTATATGTGACAATAGATACAGTTAGAGCTCATAAACCTGCACCCCGGTGTTAGTGCTCCAACCCGTGGCTAGGGCACAGTCTTTCACGTAATGTTCACCTCTCACACCTTACGCTCACCTTGGATACAAGGTAGGTGCACAGTCCCGTCGTACAGACCACTATAGGTGGTTCCGACTCGTAGGTGACCCGCGATTATTCGCACAGTCTTCACATGATCGTAGCACTTAAGTGTATTTATTTACACCCAGTCCTGTCGTACAGACCATTTTAGGTGGTTCCGACTTGTGTGTAGGTATACTTATTGAGCTATGGATAAGTCGTACATGTCACTAGAGGTGACTCTGACTTATGAGCTAGCATATATGATGAAATTTGTGATGAGCTAGCATATATGATGAGATATATGATGAGCTAGCATATATGATGAGATATGCGAGGAGCTATCATATATGATGAGATATGCGAGGAGCTATCATATATGATGACATATGTGATGAGCTACCATATACGATGAGATATGTGATGAGCTAGCATATGTGATGAGACATGTGATGAGCTAGCATATATGATGAGATATGTGAGGAGCTAGCATATATGATGACATATGTGATGAGTTAGGATATATGATGAAATATGTAATGAGCTAGCATATGTGAGGAGCTAGCATGTATGATGACATATGTGATGAGCTAGCATATATGATGAAATATGTGATGAGCTTGCATATATGATGAGATATGTGATGAGCTAGCATATATGATGAGATATGTGATGAGCTAGCATATATGATGAGATATGTGAGGAGCTAGAATATATGATGAGATATGTGAGGAGCTAGCATATATGCTGAGATATGTGAGGAGCTAGCATATATGATGAGATATGTGATGAGCTAGCATATATGATGAGATATGTGATGAGCTAGCATATATGATGAGATATGTGATGAGCTAGCATATATGATGAGATATGTGAGGAGCTAGCATATATGATGTGATATGTGATGAGCTAGCATATATGATGAGATGTGTGACGAGCTAGCATATATGATGAGATGTGTGACGAGCTAGTATATATGATGAGATATGTGAGGAGCTAGCATATATGATGTGATATGTGACGAGCTAGCATATATGATTAGATATGTGACAAGCTAGCATATATGATGAGATGTGTGATGAGCTAGCATATATGATGTGATATGTGACGAGCTAGCATATAGGATGAAATATATGATGAGCTAGCATATATGATGAGATATGTGATGAGCAAGCATATGTGATGAGATATGGATAAATCGTACATGTCACTATAGGTGACTTCGACTTATGAGCTAGCCTTGATTGATGAGATATGGATCAGTCATACAGTTCACGTGAGGTGACTTCGGCTAGCATGTTGATGAGCTGTTAATTCAACCGTACAGGCCACTATAGGTGGATCCGGCTAATATGCCATTTCATATTGATTTATTTCACCTGAGTAGTTGTTCTTATTGAGATATTTGACACTGTATAATTGTGAGACTATTATTTTGGTTATGGTATTGATTTATTGTCATGCTTGTTATTTCCGGAAAATTATACAAGTATTACGGTGAGGGCT